TCTAGACCTATTCAAATCGAAGGCAAAAGGATCTTTGGAGTTCTAAGAAAGACGGTGGTAATGGTTGCTAGCGTTTTTCTTATGGTAGTGTGCGTGGTCATTGGAATTGCAGTCGGAGTTAGTGCATCAAAAGGAAACCACAAACATCAAAGGTAGCTAGCTACATATCTGTTCTAGAAGATCCCAAAATTTCGAGGCTATTGCTCACATATAAGCAGTGAAGTCGCAGCCAGTTCAAACACCACCACCATTGATTCTACTCTCTCACCTGCTGAGACCACTATCATGCCATCGGTGACGGGTACGGAGTTACTCGCTACTGCACCCGCAGGATCTTAGACACATATTCGGGAAGTTATGGACTACCATGTCCGGTTCTAAAGCTGAATTCAGTGCTTGTATCGACGAAGAACCTCGAGTTTCTTCGTAGTCCTGCTCAGACAGGTAGACTTTCAAATGGATACAACAAATCAAGAAGAGGGTCCTTACAATTTGTCTTTAAGTGGAGGTAGCGCATCACAATGCAACTTAAATCACGGCACATAAACTCCAATGATCGATATTATGGGGGGTGTCTCGGTACTGGTTTGAACTATCCATCACATGAATCTGCAAACACATCCCAGGGCGCGTACGACAAGCTTATGCCTCCCATAGAGAACATGCCGATTCTACAATTACAAAGACCTGTGGACTGAGCTATCACGATACATTTTCCATTTGTCATACTAATACTAATGACAACGTTATAAAACCATGCGAAAAACCCTGGTTTTGTCACTGCAATTTCACCTTACCGAAAGTTTTCGTTTACGCCAATAGATTTTCATCCACATTCATCACTAGTACGACAACAGCGTTGGAAGCTTCAACAAGTAGTCTTCCTATCCTCACATCCTTATCTCATAGAAGTTGAAAAAATTTCTGAGAGTTCCGACAATGCTCCGTACTGTAAGCAGCATGTATCCTATTAGGCGGATCTGTAGCTTCGGTGATGAGTATTGAAGGACTTAGGACGGTTATATCACTGAGTACTACACCACTTCGCGCACAAAGCATTGCTAATATGGGTCGGTGTTCATACTATCGGATGGAGTGTTCAACGCAGATTCTTGTTGTCGGTGCTCTCCAATTTGAGCAGAAGTTTGGTGGTAGATCGGTGGAATTACTCGTTTCAATGGGCAATGAAAGAGCAAGTGAAAAACGATACAAGCGTCAAGCCTTGGGAAGTTGCTCAACATCATCGTCTTTTCCTCTTGTCTCCGGCTTTAGGAAGCGGAACATCAAATTTCTGGAATGGTTTATTTATGTCAGAACTTCGATTTTCAATGACGATGACCACTCCTGGGAGCGAAAATGAGTACGATTGATGAGTTGCAATTAAATTGCATGATTTGCCTCTATAATTTCTATCTTCAACAGGATGCAAGTATATCACAACTCAAAATTCGCATCGAGCACCAAGCCCATATACTTTCCATTAATCATCTCTTTTACCCCGCTCTCTATTTTGAAAATGCAATTGAGATCATTCAATTTCGACTGTTTATAAACCAACGCTGAACAGTCACATTTCCTCACAAAAGTTTGGGGAACATTGATGGCCTACAGTGAGTAGTACTGTACCAGTGGGCTATGCGCTAGATCTCCTATATATGAAGCAAGGGAAAAGAAACGAGTACAATTGTATTATAGGGTTGGTCAATGGAGGGGGGAAGAAAGTAGTACTTGTTGATAATCTAGATAAATAATGTTGGGGTGATAACACAAAGTCTATAATGAAGGATAAGACGAGGGAAAGATAACAGCAACATGAATCAAAAACAAATAACCAAATGGCAACGAATACCACCAAAAGATTGTATATTGTATTGCCCAAACCAATTTGTAAACGCAAACAGCATAAGATTGCCACGTTACGCACTTATTGTGTTATCAGAAGAATTCAATGCAAGGTGAAAGCAAAGGCTCAAACCTAGACGCGTTGAAGGCCATGTTGCTTCGTCTCCTTCGATCTGTGTATGTTGCAGGCTCGAAGTAGGGCGAGCATCTTGCTCTGATACTTTATATAGAGATCCAATTTATCCTCTAGTGCCATTTCTGTACTGACTGTAAAAAGCCTCGCTTGTCGTTCACTTCATACTTACTTGATCGCTCCTCACTTGACTGGCCATCTAATAAGTATACTTAAAGTGACCAAAGCCTACATCTACAGAGAAGAATAGCCAGCAAGTCTGAGAATAAAGGCAGTAATAGTTTTATGAGGTAAAACAACTACCGTTCTGAATTTTGCCTCTTTTCAGAAAGAACATTGGGAATTGAGAGGAAAGGGGTAAAGTTTAAGTGTCTATGCGATTTCATGTGATCAGAAGTGAGAAGATATTGCTATTTGTGAAGCTACATTGTCAGAAACACGAAGAGAGAATGAGGTGAATCCGCAATACACGACAATAGTGGCACTGAATTGTGAAACTGACAGTTCGGGAGACAGAACCGGATGGAAAGTGTTAATTGGATGATAAAATAGTTAGTAATTGGCAAAATATAATATCTTACGGAATTCGACGAGATATCGAAAATATATGATACAGCAATTGAAAGCTGATAGACGTCAATCCAAGGGTCCAATAATCTTGATATCTTCAAGGGATGCCAATTCATAACTGTTTTGGGAGTTCTTTCTAGCCACTTATTAGCCTTAGTAACACATCCGCAGAAATTTGAGCACATACCTAAGTGCTAATTCAAAATTCAGTAGTGAATCTCAAGTCAAGTAAGCTTAAACACCAAACACATGAGAGAGTCAGTGAATCATTTACCAATGTAGAGGATTCTCATCAGCTTCTCAACGTAAGTTTCCACACCCGAAACAAAGCCTTATACACCCCTTCTAAAGATACGGTTCCTAATCTAGACATTGAGTAAGGAAAACAAACAAAGCTAGAGGGAACAATACTCAAACTACAATAGAGGGCGCTAGCTTATCCCGTTCAAGAGGAGTAACGAGTACATAGAAGAAATAAAAAAGAATCAGAGGAATATTTGGATATCTCCAATGATAATTTAACGATAACAAAAGTATAGACTTGGATACGAAAGTGACAGCGACAGTTGATGACAACCAAAGAAATTGCATCACAATAGAATTATGATGAAACTATGTTATTTATCCTTTGAATCTCCACAGATCCTGATTCAGACACAATTCCGCACCCTCGAAACGAAACCTCGTTAAAAGGGGGGAACGCCCACTACCGAAACCCTCCTCTCCACATCATCTGGCACCCTTATAAAATCACTTCACGGTAACCCTGCACTTATATCTGTATAGCCCCCCCCTTAATCCTCAAAACAGGTTCCAAACGCACCAATGCTAGCCCGTCCCACCACCATGATATCATCATCTCGTGACATATCACCCTTCCAAGCTCGCTGACCACTTCGCTACGCGCTGCCAAGCACCACCATATACTTTTAGGCAATGGTGGTAAGTTAAGTTCTAGAACATCTCTATTGATCACTTACTCATTAATGATCGATATCAGACATGAAAATCTCGTCTAATATTTCTGAAGTGAGTGAGAATGAAATGTAACGAATATTAAAAACTAGAAAACTCTCCAACGCACTTCCATAAATGTACCATCAGTTTCCCAATCTTCAACGTGGTAAGCTAGCTATTGGTATAAATTAAATAAGTGGAACAGGAAAATAGGTACAATGATAGAAACATAGATTGGCTACCAAGTTCATCGCAGCGCTTTCATCCGGCGCGTAGATAGTTGGTAGCACAGTTCTTGATCAAAGCTATATATGGATGGGTAGGATTCCAGAACCGGAGAGCTGGAATGAGGGGTTATTTATGGTAGCTATGTCACGAGAGTTGATTTTGATGGAATGGTGGATAGAGGGAAGAGAAGAAATGCTTGCGGGTTTGGGCAATGCGTATTAGGTTTTTGGGATGGATGGATGGGTAGACGAGAAGGTAGAAGAAGGGACATGATCTGCTAACTGCATGGCATAGTCATCCAGCTGCCAATATAAAGAGTAACCCAATATTTATCAAAAAAACGACATTTCGATTTTCGAAAGCGCTACACCTTTTTGACAACAAACCGCCCAAACTCCAGCTAATCAAATCATAAACCCGTAGTCCTTTCAAGTCAACGATCCCACACCTAAAATCCGACGTAATTCCAAACAACGAACAAATCACCCTCTAAAACATAACATACATAACACACGAAAGCCTCGACCTAGAAGCTAAGCCGCCCACCACCATCTAACCTCACATTAACAATCTCTCACTCGGAACTGCCGATATATACATACACACACAAGCAACCACTCTCAATTCCCCATCAACCCCCCTTCCCTCCCCCGGCCTATCCGCGCGAAACGAAACCAAACCAAACCAAAATCACCCCTCTCCACGTTTCACCCACGAGACTAATCCCCTCGCGGTCACCGAACTCCGCAGCATCATGAATCATGACTCATCCATGTCCAACATCCAACATCCAACCGTTAGAACCCGAGAACTCGGTTCTCATCCCTGATTCGTCGATCGTCATTCAATCTCACAGCCCTCATTTAAATAATACCTAAACACGACAGGCAACCGCGGAATCTCGATAGCGCCCTCCAACTCGTATACAGCATTCCATTGAACCTTTGTAATTTAGTATTTGCTACTCCGACAACGTTGAGTTACAGGGTGTGCATGTGCATGTTATTAATAAATCAACAGTTAGTTGACCTGTTAGTAAGTAACAGTCGTAACATCAATGCATCCATACATCCATGCATCCACACAACCAAGAAAGAAATGATTGCGAAGCAGCGGTACCATTACGATGGCTCTGCCGCTTGCGGAAGAACTTGACGCGGGGGAGGAATATATCAATTAGAATAAGTATGCATGTATGTATATGACGCTCGATTCGATGACTGCACGAACCCGCGAGCACGGCACGCATGCACCAACGTTCCAAAGCTGATCAATCCGCTCTGTCAACCGTTTTCATCGAAGCATCTCGGATATACGGGTGCGGTGGTATGGCACAAGCAAGCAGATCGGATGTAGGAAGGAACGGTAAATTACCAACACTTAGACGGCGATTACCAACACGCTTCTTGGCTTCTTTGCCACGTTTTGTGGCCGCTGCGCTGGTGCAAGGCACCCGTATGCGGTAAATGGATATCATATGTTTGTTTGCTTGACGTTGATATTGTTCCGAGGGTATGGGTGGTATCGGCGGTTCCGAGAACGTGTGAGGGGTCAGTAACGGGTTTGTCGGGAGAGGGTTTGGATTTTAGGGGTCAGGTTGAGGGATATGTGGGTTTGGTTTCTTATTGGATTTAGGAATTTGGAAGATTTAGTGGAATTAAAGAGAACATTGAATTCTGATTTATAGAAACGCTGATAGATAGGGATCATGAAAGATCATCGGGTGGCTGGAGTACTTGCTATGCTATCTCATCTGGAATTAGTCATTATGGAGTCTTTCCACATCGAGACGGACACGCTTGTGTACTTTTATCTACTATCTGAGATGTCCTATGCCCTCTGTCATCGCTATCGTATCCATACATCATCGCCGCGATTAAAGGGCGGTCCATTTCCATTTCTTGTTCCCAGTGCCCTGGCCTCGGAATTTTGTTTCGGACTTAGGACATACCATGCGCGTCCGAATGTCATGTAATGAATGATATGCTTGTTGACGGATCAATATTGCATTCATTCAAGCATCATGCCATTCCCAGCAATTAGTAGATATCTAACCAAGACCATATAACACCTTTATCTCTCAATAACATAGAAATGAGGTCGAATCTGTTACGATCTACTCATCACCCATCCAAGCATACCCACCGATATATCCGAAAACACGATTTCCCACCCCTCCTGTGCCACACCCGCACATCCCATCCTGATTCTTATTCTTATCCCCGCGACCTTCGTTCTTGGCATCTACTGTGCCACTCATCCACATATACTCTCTCTATACATTTCTCCCATCCCTGCGCAACATCACCTGTCACGTCACTTGACTCCACCGCGATCCCTGAGCGAGTGCCCCAATTGTAAATTTCTCGTACCGTCCGTTCAATGAGATTCTATTCGCAGACCATACGGAATAAATGACCATGGAAGTGGATAGAGTAAATCAAGCTTTATCAGAAGCTTATCAAGAAAACATATGACATCTTGGTCTCCGGATTTGGGGATTCGTGACTTGCGTGTGCGTGCTACAAATATGAAATAGATGAATAGCTAGCATAATATGTATGTATAACCATCCAGTTAATTATAAATACTCCATATGCGAAGATCCAATATATGCAGATGTCAATACATAGACGCCACGCCACACACCTGCATAAAATCTCCTTCCCTCTCTCCCCTGTCTACTCGCGCCCGCAAATAACACCTCAGATCTCGGCACTTATCTCTGCCTGTCTGACTAGGATCGTAATCCTTAATGCTAAATATGATGTTCGAATTCCCATTCTCGTTTATGATGATCTGCGAGGTATGGGTCTACCGCCGTACGTTTCCTTTTTCGACCTTTTCAGTGTTCGGCCTGGAATGTACATGGATTATTGCTGGATGGAGGAGGATCTCTCTTCCTTTGGGACGGCTGCATACAATGATTCCAATAATCCTCAACGCATAATGGGTAGGGATAAGTCTAATCCCAATTCCCAATCTTAATCTCCGAAAGATCTATCGAGGGTTTGCGAATGATGTCGAAGCTAAAATGCGGAAGACATGTTGAATGACCGCGACATAGACGCTTGCGTATCCTAGAATGATAAGTCTATTGAAAGAAAGAAGAAGCGCTAACCAATTGAATCTCTCGTTCGACTCATGCATCTGAGAAAGATCAAAACGTCCAAAAAAGCAATGAACAAGTAGAACGATCTAGCCTTTTCCAAAAATAAGATGCTTAGAAATACTCCACAGAAACAAGAGAAATAGATTTCCCACAATTTCCAGTGCCTAGAGCGGATAAACTGGTTTAGATACCTTCATACGGTGATATTGTTCATTATTGCGGCAAATAGGTAAATATGAATACCTGAAGAAAGGCAAAGAGAAGATAATCGAGTACGGGAACTTGCGAGACAGTGATGAGATTTATGAACAAATGATTGGAGGTTTAGATATCGAGAGGGTATAATGTTAATGCTGAGACACTGGTCTGACTGATTTTCATAAATACATGTGTATGTCTCTGTAAGACTTACATCTATTCAAGTACGCCCGTCTTAGAGAGTACCTACCATCTTTCACGATACAGAATACCTGCACACTCTGCCCCTCAACTCCAAACGCCAAATCAAGCGTATTCGCAGGATGGTCAAAGTTTCTCCCCGGAAGGAACGAAGGAATGAGGGGAAAGGACGCAAATGTGTGACAAGAAGGATTGGACGATAAAGTATGAAGTCCGATGTACAAACTATACAACGGTCTTACCTTTCATTGGCATAATCAACGCCGTAAGTATAATAATGCAATTATTGCAGCAAGTATCAAACGTGTGCAATACAAATTAACCAATATGCTGAGAGTAGACAATCAAATGTCCCCAGCGCTTAGAAGTCATTCCTAAAACATGAACAAGAAAAAACGGGCGCTTAGACAGGCCTTTCAGCGCTAATCTTAAAATTACACATGACTCGAATTTTCAATTTTGAACTCATTCGTAGAGAAGCTTTTCCCTTTGTATCTTTTATTTTCGATCGATGATGGATTAAATGGTGTTGGAATAAATCATACTTTCCAATAGCAAATTAAAAATGTAAACTTTAAAGTCACATCACATGTACTACTACACCTACCTAGGTATCCTTCTCATCCCAAACCCCATTCCCAATATCTCATCGAATATTATCCCGGATCCCGCGGTCGGGACACTTGCTTGCTTGCTTACTCGAGTATACTTTCACATTTTCACAGCACCATGGATCATGAGGCTTATTAGTCCATCAAGTGATAATTCTTGCCTCGACGCCCGTGCTTTGATAAGGTTTTCCTGTCCCATCCGCCCTTGCGCCTTCGCAAGTTCCGTCGTTTTTAGGACACTAATTTCTTACATGCAGGCCTGTTGCAGCTTGCTTGCAAAAGCCTACAACGCCCGCATCGCGTCCATCTTGCGCATTTAGGCAACCGAATAAAGTTGAAGGCCAAAAAATACAATTAATTGGTATTTCAATTCATGGATGATGGGACATGTATCAATGGCAGGTCAGACGGATAGAAAGGAGGCGAGAAGAATGCGTTGTGATAAAATGAAAGTTATATAGCCAAGGATCCAGGCTCTTATTCAGTAGGATACGCATTCTCCGCGCCAAATGATACACTGCACACCGTCGACTCAATTAGCCCCCCAAGCGGATGATCTTATTCGTCTAATTTTGACCAATAGGAACAGTGTTTCCACATCGAGTTGGTACTACCTCGGTTCAGGACTCCACTGTTCACAGCAATGAAACATACGCTGGACGGCAAAAGAGAGTGGCAAGCACCGTCTAGCAGACGCAAGTGGATCATCTCATCCAAGTGCTCCGGTGACACAGCTTTCTGATGCTACTAGATGTGGTCTTAGTATCCAATGATACTTTCGAATTCAATGTCTGGCATTTCTCTTTCCTATTTCCCTTCATCACCGGCCAATAGAGACCATTCAAAGGATGAAAGACGATAATCAAGTTCGGAATGCATGGAGGTATAATAGATATTAGTAGTGATTTATATAAGTGGGTACTTACGCAATCGATTTGGTCTAGTAGTACGAGTAGTACGATTGGAAAATCTCCTATCCATCCTTGGCGGCTAAAGGATTGTAACGTGCGTCCGGTTGCAACAAAACAATGCGGCACCGGTCGCTTGAAGCCTTGGATGTATGCACCTGCAGCAACCGGGGAAGCGCATTCAGGTGAATCACGAGGACACGCCCTCCCAAGATTAAAAAATTTCAGCCATCCTAGCTCTATATAGAGTAGAGATGTAAGATGTGGACCAGAATATGCAAGAGGATTTCGTAGGAGGTATGAACCCCGCCACGTCGTTGGTCGCCTCGAAATCACTCTTTCGTATATCATCGGACAACAATTAATCGTACACCGATACCATCGCAGCGATCAACAGATGAGTAACGATCGTACGTATGGTTATTTACCTTGTCTCGCCACATCTTGCTTGCACTTGGTCGGATCGGAGAGATGATTGCTGCTGGCCATTGCTGCGGCACAAATTGATGTAACAGCTCAATTTCGAGCGGGTGGATAACAGCGGTGAACCCCAGTTGATGTACTTTACGGTCGGGTATGTATCATCAAAATCGAAAGTTGCACAAATTGATAATCTCGTCGAGTTCGCGTCTAATACTCATTTGATTGTGTTTGGTGTATAGTGATATCTGAAATCATGCGGGCCAAAGTAAATATTCGTTAGTCAATACGAAGCAATAATTTGACAATGATGTGTCCTTTCTCAATTTGGCGAAAGTTTTACTCCAGATTGAGCGAGCAACGTTGGAAAGCCAACAATGAAGAGGTTACAGTAGTATGTGATCGGTATCTACCGGCAGTGATAAGGCTTTCCTTGATTTCCTTGGATTCCTTGGTACGAGGCGTGATTTCTTCTTGATTCATGATTAGAGTCGGAAACAAGACCATGGATCCAGCATTTAATAAGGAGTAGAAGTAACCTTAAGACTCTTTTTGTCGAACACCTGGCATGGGAAAGTATATTTTGGTTGCCGCGACCACCTTTCTCGACCTTCTTGTTGAAGAAATGAAGCCATGGAACAAGGTACGACATGATATTGATGCACGCTATCTGTGATCGACTTTAGTGTGGCCGTTTCTGAGACCTTCTCACCCGGGATCTATTCAGCGCTTCAAGCAAATGAAAGTTACTTCGTATAGACGCACGCTCGGCAACGTAACCTAAAATGATGTCCATGTTAACGCTTCAAGCGGGTCAACTCTGCCTGACCAATTCAATTGGTTTTGAACTTGGTCCAATCTCATTGTAGATTCCAGACTCTTTTTAAAGTTCTGTGCCTCTTGTGCCACCGAAGAATTACCAAATTTTTGTGACATTCTAAGGAACGTGATATTTTTGGAAGCTATCTATATTCCTTCACATACTGCATCTTATCCTGAATACTCCCACTTTGTGTCGACTTCTATCGAATTGTTTAAGGCCACCATTTTCACTAGCAGGTGTGAAGAAAGAGTCGAGTTCAATTAATCCTGGTACGCCGGACGGACCTTGATGATCCTGACAATTTATTCCTGTACGATCATCCTTGTTAATGATCCCTTCGGACCTTTGTTTCATACAGACGCAGTCGATGGATGGACTGGGGACTATGTACGGGCGACAAAGTTCAGGGGGGAAAGAGGGGAAGATATGCCCCGATAATCTTGTAAGAGTGGGAAAGTCAGCAAGTCATCAAATCGTGCCGACGAATTGGCACATACCTACCTACATATTGGTCTTGTCTCTTTCGTGTAATCCATCCGGATCATCTCACCCCCGTTTTTTTTTTATTGTGCTGTGCGCCAAAAGATGATTTTATGCGCGTTCCCGGCTTGGGTGAATGAATGACATTTCTGGTGACTTTGGTGACAAGGTTTGAACAATGCGGCAGAATGGTCCCAGCTAAGCAAGTCGAGTAAAGAAATGTGATTTGAGTTCTTTTTAGTTTTCCTTGGGTCTCTTTTGGGGGTCAATGTAAAATCCTATCATCAAGTACCGTGAGTCCTGTCAGGCTGATTTTTTGGCCGGCCGACCATTAAGGCTTGAGAAAGTCTCATGTTGGCGAACGCGCTAAAAGATTACTTGGATATGAACCAGATGAACCAGAATTGCCAATGAAAAGGAGGAAGAAATCTTGCGTCGCTGCGTTACAGATGAAAACGCAACGTGACGCGAATGTATCATGACACAGCCTCGATAATTTGTTCCTCTTGGGGCTCTTTGAGTCTTGGGGTTCTTGGATGACAATAGATTGATGAATGAATTTGATGGGGTTTAAAGTTGTTTTCAAGGTTCAACGTGATATATTATGAATATCATACCTAGGTAAGTTGGCAGGTAAGTAGGTATGTAAGTACGTATACTTATTAGCTATCCTGCACCTGCACGAGATTTTACTTTATTAGGAAATGTGTTCAAAGTTTACCTAGTGAGTGTATTTATTGTGTAATATCATTGAACAGTTGCCAAACTGGGTTTGTGCATCATCGAAATTAATACAACCTTGCCTAATCAAGATAGACGCCGAAGTAGGATGATTGAGACGCAGCCAATAGGAAGTACAGCACAAGGGTTTTATCGTCGCGCAAAAGCGAGCAGCCGCTCAGCTCACTCCGATACAAAGCAAATGGCCCAAAATGGTCCTAGTTCTTGTATCATCATTTACTTTGTTTGTAATCTTTTAATCTTTCAATCAATCATCGAGCTTGTTGAGCCTTACCATCTCCAATATTGAGCATTTGGTCCTGGTCTTGGGCAAGAGGACTAGGAAACCCGACATCGTCATTGGATCAATTGGAGGGGGGGAAGAACTCTCCATCTTTCCGAATCACCCCAACAATGCATTGACGTGCCAGCGGATATTAGGTAGTCCTTAGATCGTTTTGTTAAGAAGGCTAAATATATCCAAACTTCCAACTCGGTGGATTCGGAAAGATCTCTCCTTCATTGAATGTGATTATTGGATAATATTGATAATAGCACTGCCTACCTACCTACCTACTTGTCAACTTTCCAACTCGCAACGAGCAACTTTTCCAAACTTTCGGTGTAGATTGTGTTGGGTGTATAGAATGTTTGAATGCAAAAATATTCGTAGTCTAGAGGATTAATATATAAGTGTTTGAAATTATGGGTGAGAAGTACAAAAATGATATCTCGAATCAATAGATACAAACAATCATCCTGCATGAGACAAAAAAGTGCTGGCGCCCGAACGGTGACAATCTAATGGAATTGATGACAACAAAGAGATTGTTTGGTGTTTAACGGCGGCGAATGAGGCTCGAATTCACAACATTCACATCCATATCATATCAATCAAATCTCAACTTGGGTCATCTTTTGGGCCGAGGAAAGTATTTATAAATAAAATCAATGGATGTATGTTCTTCAATCGATTTCTGACGGTATTGATTAGAAGTATTGAAATGCAGGTACTTATCGATGTACTGGGTAGGTACTTTTAGATCATCTGGATTCAATTGAGGTTACCTGCTGAATGACCAAAAGAGAGGGAGAGAGGGAGAGAGAGGAAGACGTCTTCTGTGTCTTCCTTCTACAGCAATTCAGGTAATATCTACAAGTATTGCCTCGACCATCATCTCCAAGATATACCTAGGTACTCCCGACTCCCGACTCCCGACTCACAACTCACAACTCACAACTCACAACTCATAACTCACTACTCTCATATCTCATTCATACCTTTGAGAAACTTCACTCCAAACACACACTCGACTTCATATATAATTGTACTTTCTGTCCCCTCCACCTTTGCTTTCTTTTTTCTCTTCTTCTCTTTTCTTTTCATCCTTTCCCACTTATATTTCACATTCACATTCTCCTTCTCATTCGATTCGCATCCACCATTCACCACTCATGCACCCAAGCTGAATCTCCAACCGCCGAGGATTTACATCTTACCGAGCTAAACGCGGAACATGGTAGAAAGAAGAGACACTAGACAATTAAAATGCCCACTTTAATTAACCCATGACGATTTGTAGTACAGAACAGACGCTGCTCAATATATTCACACTACCCCAACAACCATAACTTTTTTTGATTCTTTGCGTCCCTTCGTTACCATTCCACTGGGTCAAAGAGATTCATCAAAAAAAATAACGAAGGACTTGAAAAAAAAGACGAAACGTTTTTTGTCATTGATTCCCATAAAAATATCCCGCCCTTTTGTATCGAAAAAGTCTACTTTCGATTCAATTTTTCTATTTTAAGGAACTTGACGATTTTCATTGACGACATACATACATACATTCAAATCAAATCAAATCAAATCAGACCAAACCAGTCCAGTCCAGTCCATACGAACATACCATACTATACGAACTATCATCTCATCATCTCGGATATTGTATTGTGAAAGGCAGAAGGCGAAGTTTCAATTACACCTTTACCGACGAACAACCATCTCTACAATCGTTTTGTGTTACCTCTCAATTCTCATCTCATACCAGCTCAAGGAACACAATCCATCATCCATGAGGCAAAGACATCAATCAGCAATCAATCAATCATCATCACCATCACCCTTAACCTCATCATTATAATCACATACGATTCGGCTGGACCAATCTCTCATTCATTGGAAACTACATCTCATCGAGAGACAAGAAAGAAAAATCACTTCAAAGTACACGTGAATGAAGTCGAGTTCTTTCTGCATTTCCTTGGTTGAAAATAAGAGATAGCATTACCTACTCCAATCATTTGCACACCAATTGATTGAATTTACTACTAATTTGACCCGACTTGACTCTGGGCGACAATCTTATCAGAAGGGCAACACATCCTTCCGTCAAGAATAATTCATTGTAATCATTTAATCGGCCTTTCCAAATCCTGAAAGTATATCACGAATCCAAACTGTCCGATTCTCGTCGATATCATATACTGGGCACCACACCCAGAATAATTTAATTTCGACGAGACCTTGAAGGATTCTCAAAATAACCATCGCAATCATCATCAATCTCAAGATTTCGTGGTGTTTTGTCTTTACACATCATCTGGTCTCCACATCCTCAACGGATCTCAGCTCGGCCAAGGGGAACGACGTCGATAAGGTCACGAGTCTGGTCTTGCTGAAAAGTGATTTTTTTCGACAACAAGTAGCTCAACGACTCCAATCCTTGGATTTGTGCTTAAACGTAATCTATTCAAGAAAGAAGCAGGATACCAACGAATGGAAGGGTAACTGGATCAATCGACCTTTTGAGATTTCCCATTTGATTTGGAAAGCGCGCGTCTGCTATTTTAGGAAGAAACGTGATCTTCATCCGAATCTTATTCACGAAAGCTCATCACATTGGAACATTGGAACATTCCCATTATCAAACACTTTAAATACTGTACGTTTAACCGCCGAAGAGATATTTTTTCTTTTATTTCTAAAACCTTCATTGTCGCAATAGGGTAAATCAACTTAAAGGATGGCGCCTAACACCATGAATACAGAAAACATCCTTCTTGAAACTCAGGAGCTTGTGAATTTGGCTCGAGAAATTTTGGTGGTTAACTCAGGCAGTGAAGAAGGAATAAAAATCACTCAAGATATAGTTGAAATGGCGACTCCAGAAGGTACAGATAAACACGCGGAATCACCGACAGCGAGATTCACAGCAGTCAATGGTAGAAATCAGAATGAAACTTCGCCTACGACCAATGGAAATGGAAACGTTACTAGCACTGGAGTAAATGGGAACGGTGTTGCAAGGAGGGGTTCCGATGAGAGGCCAAATGGACAACCTAGAATTTCACCTCCAGGTCATGAGAAATTGACCATTACAACAACTCAGGATCAAGACTGGTCTTCTTCGAAAAATGGAGAACGAACTCATTTACCTGATCGCCAAATGAATACTAGCCAGAATTCAAATCATTATTCCGACGAGAATTCTCACAAACGTAAAAGATCTGGTTCAATGGATCAAGGTTCATCATCCGCAAATTCATACCACAGCCACGCCCTACCAAATTCAACAAAAGCGACACCAACCACGGCGACTACCGAGTCTGATGGGATCAGAGATGATGGAAGTGTTCGAGCAAAATCCCAACCTCATTTAGATTCCAGAGAGACGTATAGCGCAGATTCACAGTACAGACAATTCATGTCAGCAACCGATTCAGCTCGAGATACGCCTTCAAATGACTTATGGCATAGTCGTCATTACCCTCAGCATCCCCAAGTTGCTTCCGATGAGCACATTGGAGAGGTATTACAAAGAGCATCTCAAAATCTGGATGCACAGCAACATGAGTACGATCGTCGTACACTTTCTGGTGATGATAATCGATATGCTGATCCGCAATCTGCATACAGCCAAGAGAGACGGGAATTGTCTGCACAATCGGATCTCAAGAAGCGCAAAAGAAATTTCAGTAACAGGACCAAGACAGGCTGTATGACATGCAGAAGACGAAAGAAGAAGTGCGATGAATCCAGGCCAGAATGTAAATTAATCCGACAATATTTCATCAAATTCTACTGACATCTGAAATAGGTAACAATTGTCTCCGTGGTGGGTTTGTCTGTTCCGGATATCAACAACGAGGTTCCTATCCGAAGGTCGAAATGAAACAAACTCCAGTTCCATTACAATCTAAAACCGAATACGAGAGCCCCTCTTCATACACGCAGCCATCACCATATGGAAACCAACCTGGAATCCCAACTCGAAGGGAACCGTTACCTGGATATCGCGGCCAAAGCTTACGTGTAGATCCTCACAGCAGAGCTATGACAGATGCAGATGATCAAGCAAGCGCAACTACCTTACCTAGTGCTTCCATCACAAGCCCAGAGAATAATCGAATATCTGCATCAGGTTATGGAATCCAACAAACGCCAACTCCTGTGAGTGCAAACAGTGCCCATCCAGATCGCTACAAGAGTGAGTATCCGCGCGTTGGACCTCTCCATGATCTTTCCAGGCAAGAGTCAAGAACAGATCCGGATACTGGAACACCGCATTCTGCTCGTGAGCCTACTTCGGCTCTTCCAAATCTACTCAATCATCAGATTCACCCCGATAGTCCCCATAGCAGCGCCCAAGTTGCCGCACAACTAGCACTTTCTCATCCTGCAAGTCGACAAAGAACTCAGAAGGAAGAAATGTTAGCTGGCCGTCATTACTTCCCATTCGATAAAGAACTAGTTCTTGAGCGTGAACGTTGCAATACAGCTTGCTGGCGTTTCAACAATAGCACAAATCCCAATAATGGTGTATCACCCGAAGAACGAGCTCGTCAATTCCGTGACATCCTTCAACCACGCGATCATGTCATTTCTCCCACTCAAGCTACGCCTGTCACTCCTGTTGGTAAAGTCGGCGATAATGTGGTCGTCGAAGCTCCATTTACTTGCGATTATGGATACAATATTAGCATTGGACAAGATGTCGCGATTGGAAAGAACTGCACGATTCTTGATACTTGCGAGGTTAAGATTGGTGATCGTTGCAATATTGGACCCAATGTTAATCTCTATACCGCTACCCTACACATTGATCCAAAGAGAAGACTTGGATCCCGAGGACCAAATTTGGGAAGGAAAATCATCATTCAAGAGGATTGTTGGATTGGTGGTGGTGTAACGATTTTACCTGGTAGAACTATCGGGAAGGGTAGTACAGTGGGAGCGGGCTCGATTGTCACAAGAGATGTTCCACCTTATACAGTGGTTTGTGGAAATCCGGCAAGAGTTATTCGTGGTCTATATCCGCCACATGAAGGCTAATGGATATTCTGCAAGGTCTCGTTATGAACGATGAGTTAATGGACTACCTCTTTAATATTTGATTTTATCTTTCATTTCGTACTTTTCAATTGTATCTAGGGAACCTTTCTTGGAGTTTTCAATTCATGCTACTACCGTTTGGGCTTAGATCGGGATGGAGATGTGTACTGAATGGAATGGAAAGAGTTGATTGCTCTGGTAGCTTATGGCGTAGGGAGTGGCTAGCAGGCTAGGATGAATATTTTAGCTTGTCTTGTTTGTTTGTTTGTTTATTTATCTGTTTGCTTTTTTGTCTAATTGCTTGCGTGGCTCATGGATCGAAGATGGCTGGGGGACTTTTATGATATACATGTAGGATGATTATGAGGAGGAGAAGAAGCGAGGGAGGGGCTAGAGAATGCATGGCGGGATGGATGGATGGATGAATTGGATGGGAAAAGTATATTGTATTCATCAACTCGGTTCTCTTCGCTTTAGCTAGAAGTGGAATCGAAATAGGAATGAAACTTACTTAATTTACTTACTTGTATTGATGACTTTATCTTTTAGAGCACTCCTTTTTTTTTTATCTCGTTACTTGTTTGAAATCTGTTGACTTTTGCTGTTTTGATTTCGGACTTTCGTTGATACTCTGTTAGCGGGATGTTCGCATTGAGAAATAGAAAGGGCACAGTAGTAAGGGAGGAAATTGGAAGTGGTAGGGGAGATCTATGTTGATGTATGTGATGTGTGATATAATTAATTATCTGATTTTGAGATTGAGATATTGAGATATTGAGATATTGAGATAGATAAATGTATGACTATTCCGGTGCTTGAGGTTGAACAAGTATGGTCAGTCAGGCTAGATGCGAGCTTGATTCTCGCTGTTATATTCAATTTCCATCTAGTAACATATCCAAATACTGCATCGTCTATCCAGATGCGGATAGCAGGAAAACTTGGATGGTACATTGTACATTATTTAGCCGCTGTGTACGAATAAAAAAGATATGCTGAACCCTGTATCTAAAAGTCAACATTCGAATCTGATAGCCTCCCATCTTCTTGAGCCCTGCTCGACCTGTGGTATATACAAAAAGCACTACTCGATTGACACAAAAACAGAAAGATCGTCCAAGCGAATATATTTGCCTGGTATGTATCCGACGCCACAACGTTCGTAGGATGTCGTACCAAGGACGTCTGAGAGCGGCTTGACGATCAAGACGTAATGTTTCTTCATGCTTGTATCATTGGCAATATGCTTGTCAGTACCAATAATCACACATTTTGCTGGACCAATCGTTGAATCATCATAGTATATATATGCCTCACTTTTACTAGTGTTTGCAGGTATATCGAAGTCAAATGCTTCGGCTTGAACAGCCACACTATCATTTTGGCAGCTTGTTCGAAGCCATGAAGTTTGATAGCTGGTGAGGTTAGCAAATGGTAATTTTACTCCGGTATCATTCCAGGGAACATGCCCGCCGCCAGGCTCGATGAATGAGATTGCGCCATCAAAAGCCATCCATGACCAAGTCGGTGGAGTCCGCCGAGAATGTGTGCCAGGTGTAATCTTCTTCAGCGGTCCTGTATTATCAGCCCGTCACCAGAGCAAGCAGCGGCCCCAGAATGTTTTAAAAAGCCCTGCTAAGCTTCGTGTCTTGAATGCGATGTTTAGTCGCTCCATCAGTTCATCAATTGCGATAGGTCGGTCCTCCGGATGGGAAAATTCAGCCTGGTATATCTCTGAAACAGATCAATAAAGAGCTTGATTTGATCCCCGACGGTGCTTGATGGTCGGATTGTGTAGTTAGGAAAATTGGGGTCACCGAGGAAAGCTATCTTATCGTTAACGAGAAGGCATTAGTCAAGTCTACTTTGTTAATGAACAGGCTAGCTTACTTCTTGAGCTTTGCCAATGTTTCTCAACGAATCCCCTCGCCACACTCCCAATAGGCCTGGATGTCTGTAAAGTAAATAGTTCTGCGAGCCAAGGCGCATTCCTGTAAAACCCATCCACGCCGGGCTAGAGGGCTGTTAAGGACATCCCGCTCAAAGTCGGTTGTGATTGGTGAGACAAAGACATCACCGATCTTGACACATTTTGATCGTGATTCTCGATTTTCTAAAAAGCCAACCTTGGCACTCTCGGCATTGCAAGCAGCCAAAACGCAGTTCCCCCATGACCTTCTGTGTTGCTAGTATACTCAAGGCGTTGAAACTTGAGTTTTCTTAGTTCTCCGCCCCTGAACGATAGGAATATTTACTCACCTTGCATCTTCAATCGACAATAACTAACCACTTTTAGATTTAATGATTACTTTGAGACTGAATTGGTAAAATTGGGTAGAGACATGTTTGTTCGATCTGCCCCACTGAAAAAATAATTTCTATCTCCTCCAGCCCGTTCAAGAATACTGCTAAGCTGTTGCTTTAAATCGTTTGCGCTTGTACGAAAACCTTTGGCGTAGAGGTCGGAGTTTGGAGGCAGTTTAGTCTTGAGCAATCTATCTCTCGTCAATCTGATCAGGTCACCGATAGCACCATCAAGTTCTAAGTCGTGCTCTAATATGTGGTCCATCCACCCGGTAACTGCGCGTCAACCATAGCTTCCATCTCCCCTTCCCCGCCAATATGGTGTTGCACGTTTTCCTTCATTGTTGAATCCATTGGCTCTCAAGAAGACAGTATGGGACTCGTGTCCATGTATTAACCACCGTATGGCTTCAAAGATTAGACAGCCCATGGACCAAATATCAGATAAAGGTGAAATTCTGCCTTGAGCCTCCTCATGATTCTTTTTCTCTAGATCTGGTGGATCGTACCACTGTGTTCTCCAAAGGCTCATCTCTTTGGTGTGACTCATGCTTTTCATAGATGGATGCTGTTGAGCTCTTCCCAGATCTGCGAGCTTAAGGATCCCTAATTTATCATGTTGTTGGCCGGTAGTGAAACGTAATACATTCTCCGGTCTAATATTGCTATGGAACCAATACAGCGAGTCAGAACTTTCGATTGCTTTTGAACTTGCAGTATCAGAAGAAACCAAGATGCTTGGTGTTGTTGTATTGTCATTTCTCTCTTCCTCGGAGACGAAGTTGAACGTAGGCAAGGAAGAGCTATCCACATATGGTCCACCATTATCAAAAGCATCCTCCTCCCAGGTTGCAGTCCTCTCTGATTGGAGTCTAGGCGAGTTTGACGCAGAATTCTTTCTGTTGTTTCCAGGGGTACGAGCACTAGTAGAATGCATTGCTTCAAGAGCCTCCGCTAGTCCATGTAGCTGCCCCAGCAATTCTTTTACCCTTCGTCGAGCCCTACCAACGTCGGGACAATCCACTTGTGGCTCAGGGTTGTTCTCCCAGAAGTCAAAGAGGCTTCCGCCATTGGCCCATTCAAGTACAAGATAGTATTCGTCGAGCTGTCTATTTGTCCCAATTTGACGGTAGGCGGCAAAAGCTTGAATGATTTTTTCACTTGAACAATTCAGCTGTTGGTGAGCTCTTGCCTCACGCTCCCATTCCTTATGAATGTTATAGCCAGGGTCGCCAAAAATTTTCAACTTCTTCAAAGCGACCCTCACCGTCTTGCCAGATACGTTGATCTTATTCTGCTTACTGGCCAGCATTTCCACACATTCAACTTCGCTGAAGTGGCCACTTCTTGACGGAGTATTTGCTTCGTCAATAACCGTAAATGGAAGAATCTGCTTTTTATCGAATTCATATTTGAAAACATCGATATCAAACATGGGGAGAATGAATGATAGCCGCTTGTTTTTGAAATCGTCAATTGTTCTCTCGTTCCACAACCTATGTTGAAAGTACAACGGGTCGATTTCGTAGGATTCTAAGATCGTGCCGTTGAATTCTTTCTCCGTTAGGGAGGCCATGACATCGCGACGATCTTTATAACTGGGAAATACCAGCACCAGCGTCGCAAATGCCTTTTTTGCGTGGTTAAGAATATACTTGACCAAGGCGGAAACCTCGTGACCACCACCAAGGGCAGCTCGTATCCTATTTCTTCTCAATAGCGTAACGTAATCATCGTCTGGAAGATAAACCCCTTCTGGTGATAACCCAATAGGGTTGTTGTCCAAGACCCATAATATTTCGTCAGCAAGGTCAACTCTGTCGGGAAGTTCAGCAAGTTCGAAGCTTTCAGAATAATCACTAGAATGCCTTTCACTCATTGATTTGTCACTTGCAAATTCTTGCTCTTGTTCGATATCATCAAGCCAAGGAAGTGCCAGCAATGACATTGGTCTCAAGTGATGTGCCATATGTTTCTGTACAGCTGGCAGACTGGAATGATTTTCAAAGCAGACAAAGCACCATTGAGGTAGCATAGCGACCTGGGTTGAGCGGTGGACCAAATCATTCTTTGCTGGGCGGTCAAGATTCGGGTGATAAGCATTGAGATGGTTATCAAAATCTGCGAGCTTATTAAACAATAAAGGCTCCCCATCAAGGCTCACACCGTCATCTGAATGTGATCGGCAAACCCAGCTGTCATAATGTGGCTGATCAAGGTGTTTCTGCCAGTCTTTGAATGAGGAATAAGATTTTCCCGGTCGATCACAGTTCGCGAAAAGACAAATATATGGTTGCAAGTCCTCCAAAAGATGTCGTTTCCATCGTTTTGTATTCTTCTGCTCCTCGAAAATCTTCGCAGGAAGTACAAGATAGCAATATGGACAGGCCTTTTCTTTATCAATTATACCCAACTTCGGTGGGCGGGGTACTTCAAAAGGGCCGTTGACTCCAAAGCCGCCGCCAGCAAGTGAGAAAACTGTTGAGGAAGGAGCAGAGCTTGGTGGTGCTAGCATGAACGAGTTTGATTGAAATTCTGAAGCCGTTGTTGTGCTGACAGTAATATTGGGAGGTTCATCGATAGCTCTTGGAACAATAGGAGAAACGCCGTTGCCCAAAGGCTGTCTGACAACTGGCTGTGAATTTGAAGATTTACGCAGGACAGGCATGATTTCGAACGCACTTTTAAGACACCCTACAGCTGATTCCTGAAGTCAACGCCAAAAGCTTGACAAATACTGCTCAAAGGCTGTTCGATTCAATTGAGTGGGAAAACTGCGAGCGGTTTCGTCAAGTCGTCGAAAATTGCATTCAAGGCAATTTCATCGACAACAAAGTGATCTCTTCCATGGTGTCGTCAACATCTCAAGAATATTCCACTCCAAGTTGCCTGGATGCTGTGCCAGGTATTTCAGACGAGTTCGCTGGAATTTACCAGGAAAGAATATTAGCACCTCCGGAAACAGATTTTAAAACTCTGTGGCGTGATGAAGATCCTGATCAGGTTATATCGAGAATCAAACTCCTCAGTGTCAAAATAATGACAGATCGTAGCCGAAAACAGGCTTCCTCAAAGGTATGTCTGTTCTTCTGATGGCTCCTACCATGAATCGCTTTTTAACCCTATAGACTGTGGCCAAATGCACTCCTGGACCAAAACCGCAGTGTCAATCTCCGGTCATATCTCAACGAACCAATCAAACATATTCACCATCAACGCGATTCAACACAACTAATAGGTTGAAATTTTCTGACGTGGTGGATAGTTTAGACACTTTTCAGTGAGTTGAATGCAAATTTCATTCTTTAAATACTGGAAGGCTAACTATCTCCGGAAAGGATAAAGGGCTCAAAGCGATGGTTCGAGAAGTTTGAAGAGAAATCGATACAAGAGATGATGCCCGTGATAGCAATTTCCGAAGAAAACCGGGTCAAAATTGCGGTTTTAGACACAGGTATCAATTTGAAGAACACTTTCATCTCGCAAAACAAAGGAAGAATACGGTGTTGGCCCAACAGACCAGACTGTGACGATATAGATGGCCATGGAACCCACACCGCGTATTTGCTTCTTCGGCTAGCCCCTCATGCCCAAATTCATGTTGCAAAGGTCAGCAATACAAAATTTCTAAGAGATGCTAATATCGAACAGATTGCCGCTGTAAGTGCAACACCAAAATGATCCGATCTAAAGTGCAATCAAGTAACCTGTCTTGGCAGTCAATTGCCCACTTTTCAGGAAGAAGCCGAGTTGATATAATCAACTTATCATTTGGCTTTCCTAGGTATCATGCGGCACTAAAGCCAATTTTGACTGCTATTCGCAATGCCCGGTCCAATGGAGTTCTGGTTTTCGCTGCCGCAGGGAACGATGGCCGCAATCAAGGAGTTTTCTGGCCTGCTGCCTTGCATGATATCGGGGATGTGATTCGCATCAACTCTTCGAATGGTAATGAAAAACCATCTGACTTCAACCCTGACCCTGGAACAGGTCGCCGGATTTGTACATTGGGTGAAGGTGTTCCTTCCTGCCAATTATATGAGGACCCCCCCAGCCGAACAATACATCGAAGCGGTACATCCTTTGCAACGCCCATAGCTGCCGCCATCGCCGCAATTGTTTTGGCTTTCGTGAACAGTTTTGGTGCTGAGAGAGAAGAATTCGAAGGCTTTGATGACCTTGTCTCTCGGTTACGTACCCCAGTGGGAGTGGAGAGAGTTTTATGTCAAGCCTGTGTCTTAGATTCCACATATTCAGCTCCCTCAAATGGATTAAAATCCTCATATATTACACCTTGGTTCTTCCTTGCACGCGAAAGGAAGATCACGATTCTCAAGATCCTCGAAACTCTTGGGCAAGTACCAGAGTCTCCGACTCTATTTGTAAAAGCATTCTAAGCAGATCGCTTGCGCTGAATTGAATAACCAGCAGCTTTTCCTACATCCCGGCCATTTACGGATCAGCAAAAGCGGCTCATGTTCCAAAGTTTGAGATGTTAGACTCTTGGTCACTGTCCATTCAGCTCGTCCATGGAAAGTTTCGCAGAACTTCAAGCATTGATGACGATTGAGAGTGAGAGGTTTAAAGTAAGAAGGGGAGGGGGTGGGCTGGTAAATTCCTGAAGTAAAAGAGTTAGGTTCGGGACAAATGCTAGCCTAGAGAGTTCCATTTGGAGATATAACACTGTGAAGGGTGTACCCCGGATCAAGTAGAGGATAGTCAGCCTGTATGCCACCTCATTCGATCTCTATTCCTGCACAGAACGTTGTTCGTCCTACAAAATGCCCCGGGTATTACGCGATTTGCAGGCAAAAAATTTAAAAATAGTTCCATACAGCCTTTCGAAAATCTTCCCGGAAACGCGTATATTTCAAATATATATCTTATAATAGTATATGATTGGGTATGTTTAAGTTTCTCTAAAAAGGACTTCAGGGACTGTCTTTGAGTGACCATATAAAACAATCGTAAACTCTTAAATCGGGTCTTATACTCAAAAGCGGATCATGGTCGAACATTTTTAATACATAGGTAAGACAGTGCTAATGTAAGGTGAGAGCAGCAGTGACGCAGCATGACATAGAAAATATTTCAGGGTTTGTAAACATGCGACTAGACATACAATGTCTTCCGATTTCTAACCCGCTACAGACACTCAATAACCACTCTCCTCATCCCCACCCCAAACTTCTTTTCTCAGCCACTCCCCAGCCCTTCCATAAAACTCCCTCGGGTCGGGCTTCGCACGCGGAAACTTATCCCATCCATGCCTCACACCCATTACACACTCCAAATCCACTTCCCAACCCCAACCCTTCAATCTCTCTACAAATTCCTCCGCTTCCCTACACAGCATATCATGTTCACAAGTAACAATCCTCATTTTTCTCGGTAACCCTTTTTCCAACACCTCTTTACTTTGGATCCCAGCCGAAAGTAGCTTATGCCTGCGATCAATATTCAAATACTCAGGTTTATACGACTGATCGAAAATACTCGTGAGCCAAGATGGCAATGAGAGACTTGGATCCTTCATCCTCATTTTCTTTTCAGAACGTGATATCGTACTATCGAATCCTGGATACCATGCCATGATACCCTTGACATTCCAGTTTCTATTCTTCACAACCCGTCTGTCCTTTAAGTCTTCCAACAATAAAGGAATACCAAAACATAAACTTCCTCCTGCACTAAATCCACTCAATACAATGTTTTCGACATCAATGCCTAATTCTTCAGCATGGGAAAATACATATAGAAGGGCATCACATGCATCGTAAGGTCCTGTAGGAAAGGGATGCTCGGGAGCCAATCGATAAGATGCAGATATCACAATGCAATTCTGTAATGTCGATACAGTATGGCACCAAAGCGAATCATCCGTCGGATTCCCGATTACAAAACCTCCGCCGTGGAAATTGAGAATACATGGCAGGGGATCAGTTTTTGAGATTTGGTGGCCGTGGGGTTGGTATATGTGGAGAGTGAGAGATCCGGGAGAGGCGGGGAGAAGTGTAGTGTGGATGCGGAGGGTGTAGGTCGCAGGGTGGGGAGGTGTGCGATAAACGTAGCGGAGGATGATGGGCGCGAAGGTATTGGCGAGGAAACGGATTGTTTTCACCATGAGGGTTAGGAGAATTCGTGGTAGAGACATTTTGTGAGGAGGAGAACAGAAATTTTATAATGTGATTCTTTGCTTAATCTTGGTCAATTTGATGGCTGTAGTTTGCTTTGTCGTGGTGGCGAACAAGGGTATCAGCATGGCATGACATTAATGTCCCTTCCTTTGCAACAGTCACGTCTGAATTCGATCCCGTCAATGAAGAGTTTGTTTTCCCAGACCAAGCAAGCCTTATCTGAAGACTTAAAAAACGGGTTTCGTGATGTGGTTTCGCTTCCAGAAAATGCTTGATAACGATATCGATGATGATGCATTCTTGCCTTGCTTTGTTCCGTCTTTCAGCCGATAGGGGTAGACATTTGATTGGTCGATTGAAACGACATTCGGTCAAACAACATTCCGAGTCCTCCATGTATATACATTTTTGGTCCGAATGGGTAGGATTCGGACAAGGTATTAATATTTTCCCGACACACAGACAAATTCCCCCCTTTTCCACCGCACACCCTTATTCTCTATTTATTGATAGACGAACATGGTACCATCAGGACTGGGGTTGAATCTTGAACATCATTCGGGCGTTGAGTTGTGAGCCTAGAGTCACAGAAAAACGAAACAGGTTCCAGAAACAGTGACTTTATTGCCATAATGCATTGCAACTAAATCAACGATACTAATTTACTGTTGAAATTCACTCTGATTGTACTGCTACTGATACTTATCAAATGAATCCATATGGTATACTTAGCCATACTCTTTAAATTCAAGTATCATGCATGGCTTTTGAAAATATTAGAAAAATATGAGGATGAAATGAAAGGAACTACAGATAGTAATCATACATACCAATTTCAAATCTGGAATTTCATAACCCTCTTCACCTGAACTCAACTTACAAGAAGCAAAATGCACTTGAGCAAACCGCAGAATTTATGAGTTTCTAGTAAAATGCTATCACACTAATCTATACAAGTGAGAAGCGAAGCGTCTTCCTTTCCTCTTCCTCTGCTCTCCTCTTCCACCAGAGTAGCTGCCTAACCCCTGTAAAGTTTTTCGTGCCCTCTCTATGACTACATCTTATTTTTTCTGCCTCTTCGAACTCTTATCAGTCCCCGTACTCATCACGCTCGCGCTTCTTTTAGGCGCAGCTGCCGTATTTGCATCAGCGTTCTCAGTACCATTGTTCTCACCATTACCCTGCGCGCCATCACCACCTCCCTGTTCATTTTCCGCTCCGTTTTCTCCACTCTCTGTACTTTGCACTACAGCTGCCGCTCCTTGCTCTTCACTTCCGCCTTCTCCATTCCCATCATTTTTATTCTTCATCTCCTCCTTCTCATCCCCGGTACCATCCAGTCCTCCAGCAGCCGATAACCCACTCATTCTTCTCCTCCTCTTCTTTTCCTCTAACTGCGCCTTTAACACATCAATTTCAGTTTGTAACTTCTCAGCCACCTTCTTACTATCCAACAAAATCCCAATACTCTTGAACAACTCATCATAACCATGGGCGACATCTGCCGTGCCCATAATTGGTTTCTCAGGAATGCCCAATTCAACCAACATATTTTTGATACGACCTTGTTGAATTGCACTCTTTGATGTGAGCGGTCTAATAAGTTTTTCACCACGGAAATATGGACCACCTTGTAAACGATCATGATGCGAAACACCATAAACCTTTTCTTCTTCTTCTGTGAGTCTGCGGCGATCTGATGGTGTTTGAATAGACGATATGCTTCCTTTCTTATTACCCACTGCTGAAGTATTACCTGCGTTACCTGATGGTGCTGAGATGGACTCTCGAACATTGGAATCTCGTCTTGCATCATATCCACCTGGCGTATTACCAGCGACGGGAGTAGCACCACCGGGAGTTTGACCTTCTTGAATAGGCTTTCTTTTCTTGCTTTTATCCTGTGTAAGAAGTTGTTGACAGAGTTGATGTAGACCTTGACTAGTGATGAAAGCACTGATATTGGAACTACTTGCAGGAGCATCGAGTCTGGCGTAAAGTTCTCTCCGTTCCTCCATGAATTTCTCCGAGCGAGCCAAGATACGTTTGAGTTCCACCATAAGACTTTCTTCTTCTCGAGCTTCTTCCTTTGTACGTGTGAAAACGCTCTCCAGGAAATCTTTCCTCCGTGTCTCTTGTACAGGGTCGAAATTTAACATCTTCTGATGTAAATCGAATTCCGCAGTGTTCATTTGATGTAAAGGTTTATTTAATGCCATCATAGCCGCACCTATTGTATAATATCTCACTTTCAAGTCTTCCATAGTCCTGTCTCGTCTAGCTATCGCTCCTTCCATGATGTCTGCCGGACTGTCTTGAGGTATATATTCGTATCGATCCCATATAACCGGCCATCGCAAATCATATTCCTGAACCGTTCTCATCAAATAATCCGTTTCTTCTCTCGACCAATTCTCACTCTCCAGAATTTCCTTGTATTGTTCGTCGGTATAAGTCGGTACCTGTACTTTCACATTATACTTTGCAAAAGTCGAGTCCTCAATTATCTCCTCTTCTCTTTCCTTTCCCTTCTCCCCATCTTCCCCCATTTCCGTATCCCCCTCCGCATCCTTCTCCCTCTGCTTTTCCTTCTCCCTCCCCTCAACCTTCCTCCAATGCTTTAGCACCAAACCATCTCCATTCCTCGCGCTATTTCTAAAACTCCTTGCTTCCCATTTCGTCGCCGGTTTTCGACTTCCAAATCTCTTCTTCTTGAAGACCGCTTCTTCTGGTACAATCGCAATAGGATTATCTCCCCCCAGGTTTTGTACTTCTCTTGCCAGACCTCCCAGTTTCGGTTTTTGGGCAATTGTTTTTACTTTTTTCGGTCGAGAGGCTGAGGAGCTAGAGGGGAGATCCAGCATATCGCGAACATCGTGGGATGTCATTTTGAAATGATTACGTAGTTTTGTGGTGCGTGAGTGGAATTTTTATCTTATCATTTCTTTGGAATAGTATTGTGAAATAAATTGACACTCCAAGAAGATACAAAAGTAACGTGTCTGTTGACTCCAAGAAGATACAAAAGTAACGTGTCTGTTGATGAATTATTAGAAGAGAAAAAGATGAAATGATTGTCGAAAGATAGTTCAATGTTTCTATGAAATATTGCGATCGCGAAATATCCCAAAAACCCAACCATTGAACCGCTATCAACCGCTAACTTATCAGCACGTGAATCAACATATCCCTGTCCAAGAAGTCGCGAACGTGTTCTATCAATCCATTTGAATATAAGCCTTGAACAAGCTCAATCAAATCATCCTCGCAAGCTCACTACTTCAACCCTCACAATACGCATATAACTCCCGGTAATCGAAAATGCGCACATCTCTTCCCCTCATTGGGGCCGCTCTCTCCGTCCTCCTTGCCCCAGTTCAATCCCTCTACTTTTATATCGACGGCTCAGCACCCAAATGTTTCTTCGAGGAATTGCCCAAAGACACATTGGTAGTAGGCCATTATACCGCTGAGGAATACGATGAAAATACAAGACAATGGAGTAAACATGATGGATTGAACATTTTTATTTCCGTAGATGTATGTATATACCCCTCTCCTCCCTTTGCCCAATCTCCTCAAGTCCCATGTACACTCTACACCTACACATCGTACCTGAGTATACCAAGAACCTACTAACCTCTCCCCATTAGGAGGTCTTCGACAACGACCACCGAGTAGTCTTCCAAACCGGTTCATCTTCCGGACGTTTCACCTTCACAGCCGCCGATTCTGGCGACCACAAAATCTGCTTTACTCCCTCCTCCACCTCTGGCTCTAGCAATTGGCTCAGCGCATTACATTCAAATGGCGGTATCAAATTGACCCTCGATATGGCAATTGGAGAGACGAGTCAAATTGAAAGTGACGATAAGGGAAAAATCAATGATATTGTGCAAAAGGTTAAGGATTTGAATGGCAGATTGCAGGATATTAGAAGGGAACAGGTTTTCCAGCGGGTAAGTGCTGATGTTTATTTGCTCTTTATACATTCATCTACTTTGCTCTTCCTCATTTTCATCTACCCCCAAAGCTCCCCTTCCCTTTCTCCAATGTCAACTTCAAACCCCCAATTCTAAATGCTAGACCCCCAATCTCCAAATTCCCAATCTCCAAACCCCCAAACTAACCCTCCCCCTTAGGAACGTGAAGCCGAATTCCGCGACCAATCTGAATCTACCAACGCGCGCGTCGTCCGCTGGACACTAATCCAACTCGTCGTCTTGGGAATCACTTGCGCGTGGCAACTTTCACATCTGCGATCCTTCTTCATCAAGCAGAAACTGACTTAGATGTCCTTTTCTGTGGTTATGTTTCGATTCATCAATTGCCGTCCGTGAGAGGGAAGGGGGAAGAATATAGAGAGAAAGAGCGAGCAACGAAGAGGGAAGAATGGAGGGTGGAAAATGGAATAATGAAGAAGAGACTTACGATTCACTCTCATTATGTACCTCTGTATGTTAGTGTAGCTGGTTGGTTCGACCCAAAATGAGACGAGGCGGGATGAGATGAGATGAGGATTGCGCTGCAATGCACTGCTACGCATTTAAAGAATTACATGAAACTTCCCTTCTTCTATGATTCCTGCTCCCTTTTCTCTCTTCTCAAACCATAACCCCCCAAACCCCAAAACGAAACCACAACACAACACATAATAAGCTTTCCTTAGGTATATGATCATACATGCATAGTACATGTAGCTAGGCTACGTAAGTAGCTAGTGAGAAAACACTAATGCTAATAACACTAACTAACTAATCCCAATACCTACCTACCTCCTTACCCACCCACTCCCCCCTCCCCCAAATCTCCAAATCTCCAAAAAAAAATCAACAATTTTCCTGAGTTTTTATCTGAGTGTTTATTTCTATCTATCTAGATACCTATCTACATCTACCATCCTACCATCCTACCATCCATATTACCATCCTACCGTCCATCCTACCATCTCAGAACCGAACCGAACCGAACCGTAGATATATGTATATGTATATGTATATGTATATGTATATGATATGATATGATATGATATGATACAAGGCAAAGCAAGGCAAGACAAAGCAAGGAAAAGGCAAAGGAAAAGGGGCTAGTTACCTACCTAGCTAGCTATATAATATCTATACTCTATATATCTATCTATCTATCTACATACCTAGATATCTATATATCTACACCCTCTTTGTAGTATATATTTCTAATTTATAATAATATGCAATAACATGCAATATATAGATACATATACATATACATATACATATACATACAACATTACATTCACATCTTCATCTACAAATCTACAAATCCTACACACCAAAAGATCCAAGATCCCATTATCAACAACTTCCATTAAACTATCATCTCTGCTCCATCTACTCTGCTAACCCATCTCTCTGTCTTAATTGTGATTTGATTTTATTGATTGATTTGCCTGATGCTGATATGAGAATCCACCCCTTTTGTTTCGCACGGTTCAGGAAGAAAAAAAAAGAAGATAGAGAAGAAGAAAAAAAAAGACAGATCCCATTACTTTTCTTTCCACATACACATTTTTCTCTCATTCGTTGCTACTGAAGTAAGATGAAAAGAGTAATATGACATGCAGCCCATCCATCCCATCCATCAGAACATACAAAAAAAGGAATCTCCTCCCATCACATCTCTCAATCCACCCCATCAACTTCCCCATATGCATCTAGAGTAGCAACCCTCTCACCACAATACGCAGACAAGCAGGAAAAAACGAATACACACCACACTCCCAATTCGCCATTGCTACAGTGTCACTGGAGAGAGAAATAAAAGACGTAACACTCCGCTCGCTCCAAAGAAGTAAGATGGGAAAAAAAAAGAGAACGGGTCAAAAAGCTATACATCGTAAAAAGTGTCCCCCGCTACCCATTCCAAACTTCTTTTCCTTGGGGATGTTGAATTAAAGACCAGCGTTTCTTGGTACGTAGGTGAGCCATGATATGATTCGACGAGAAAGGTGGGAAAATGTGATGCCAAAGAATAATATTTTGGATGGGAGAGTGAGGTAGAGGGTGAGACGGGAGAGGGAAAATGTAAGAAAAACAAATTATTAGTCTTGAAGTGCTTCGCTGAAGAAGTCCCAAATGCCAGATGCCAAATTCCAAATGCCAACCGAAGGTATTTTGTTTATGATGTACTTTCGTGTTTCAAACCCAGCTTCAGAGTCGTGGAAAAGGTGTATGTAACCACAAAAGCAAAGCTGAGGCTTTTTAAGAAACGACTTGGCGGTCAAACTGATGCAACTCCGGTACATGATCTTATTTGAAACGATTTGTAAATTGAGGTGTTCATTATAACCGACATTCAATATGAAGACGGCATGGAAAGTGAAAGAGTCGAGGCGTAAAAAGTTCTTTGAAATGAAAAAAATGAATTATGGACAAGTGCTCAACCTAGTCACATGTTAGAATTTTTGATCTTGCTGAGAAAGTATAGATGCATACTAACCGCAGCACAGAGCTTTCATGATCTTTTGCATTGCCGTTGGTTGTGGCTGTTCTGATGGTCCTCTCCCGTTGGTGTTCAGTGGTGATTGTTGGGCTGCACTCATTCTTTGAGGTAAATTGTTTGAGCTGTTCTGGAACTGGGCTTGAGTTGAGCCTGCTGGTGTAGGTGCATCCTGAAGGCCCCCCGCCGCTCCGCTGTTGCGTTTCGGGGCTAACGCACCTGGGGCGTTTTGCCGGTCGCGAGACTTGCCCATCCCTGGCTTTATCGGAGATGGTGGCGGGGGTTGTGCGGCGTTTAAACGGGCGGCAGTGAGGTGACCTGGTGTTGTATTTCCTCCTCGAGTTGTTCCATGTAGTTCTCTTTGCGAGGCCCCTGGGACAGCATTCGGTTGATGTAGCATGTGTTGAGATGGATGTTGCTTCATAGCTTCCCATCCCTTGCCATTGTTCAACTTCATCCAATCATACTCTCCATCTTCAACTTCACCACTGTTCTTCAAAGCCTGAGTGAAGAGATCCCGCAGGTAATCGTAATCTGGTGTATCCTCGAAACCCAAGTTCCTCACATAGCTCAAGTATTGGTTGAACTCCTCTGGGAAACCATCACAAAGATCCTTGATCGCGGTCGTTTGCTTCTTCTCACCAATCTTCTCGTACTTTTGCTTGTTGGTAGCAGCCTTCAATCCTTGCCATGGTAAACCACCTCGTAAGAAATACATGAAAACATGACCCAAAGCTTCTAGATCGTCTCGTCTTGATTGTTCCCTTCCCAGATGTGTGTTGATACTCATATATCTTGCAGTGCCCGACAATGACTTTCGCTCGCGGTAAGGAATGTGTTGCTTGGTCTTGGGATCCCGGTATTGTTTGGCCATGCCAAAGTCGACAACGTGGATAACATTTGCGGCTTTCGTATTCGGTCGGCCAATTAAGAAGTTGTCGGGTTTAATGTCTCGATAGATCAAGTTCTTCTCGTGAATTGTTTGTACCCTTGAAAGCTATTTTTGGAATTAGTACATGCGAAGTTACTCAGCCTTTGCAGTGTGGACGAAGGAAACGAACCATTTGCTTTGCTACCATAACCACCGTCTTGGTTGAGAATCTTCTATTGCAGTGATCGAATAAATCTTCCAACGATGGACCAAGGAGATCGATGACAAGGATGTTGTGAAGGCCTTCTTGACCAAAGTAATAAACATTAGGAATACCAGCTGCATGGAATTAGTATCTCGACCTCGAGAAGATCGTGATTGATGTACTCACGGCAGCCAACAAGAATCTTATAAGTTCGATATTCATCTCGCAATTGTGGAGCGTCGCTCTTTCGAGGCTCCTATTCATGATAACATTGTCAGCAAAGCAAAACCATTTGAAGCATCTTTTCCCCCTTTTGTGTCGATCAATGCATCTTCGCAGATGAAAGAATGAAACTGATGGCGACGACGATGAGGAAGAACGTACGAATTTGATAGCGACTTGTTGATTGTTGAGTAGATTTGTTCCCTCAAAGATGACACCGAAAGAACCCTCTCCGATTTTCTTCCCTACGCGATAGTGAACGCCGACGACATTAGACGATGATGAAGCCATCGTAATTGTATTAGGAGCTCTCGATTGAGCTCAAGAAGTTGAAAGATGTAGAAATAGGCCGTTGGAATTCGATGATCGGAATTGAAAGTCAAAGTAAAATTGATAGGCTAAATGAATTGTTGCCTTTTTACCAGGAAGTAGGATTGAAGATCAACAAATTAAGGTCGATAGAGAGAGAGATGCTTTTTTGGGGGGGGGCTCGGGGGGTGGGAAATGAACGCGATGACTGTAGGCGGATGGGGTTTATCGTATTAGCCCAGTTGAAGACGAGTATTTTTGCTACGATTGCCACAAAAGGGGACATTCAATGCAATCCCCAATGATATTGTCCCCAAAAGATGATATTCTCTCTCTTTTTTATTATTATTTTTTAGGATGGGGTGGTTTGGGTTGGGAGGGATTGTGAATGGATGAGATTAGGAAAGAAGGGTTGGTGAGAGGAGAGAGGTGAGAGGTAAGAGGTGAGAGGTGAGTGGTGAGTGGTGAGTGGTGAGTGGTGAGTGGTTAAGTGAATGGGTGAGTAAGGTTTTTTGGGGTTTTAGGTTTTGGGTTTTTGGTCGCAGGCGGCGAAGGCGGTGGGTGGGTGGATGGATGGATGGATAGGTGGATGGGGGGATTGAGTGGATGGGGGTTGGTTGGATGGGGTGGATTAACTGCAAAAAGTTGTTGGTAAAGTTTGGGGCTTAGGCTTAAGGGAGTTTAGGGACATTTTGGGGGAGAATGAGGGATATTTGAATGCATAGGGAGGTACTTAGATGAATAATCAGATGTAGTCGTCGTGGTAGGATTTATATCTATTCCATGGATTTTGATTTGGTAATGGGCGGATTCTGCACGATATAGATGGTCAATGTAGGTGTACGATTTTACATGACATGTAGGTAGATGTACAACGTGATAAATGTAACAACAGACCAGAGACGATAAGGGAAGGTAGAGTTGGCTAAGGGAACGAAAGAGCAGGTAGAGAAAGGTAAGGAAGGGAAAGGGAAGGGGAATTAGGTATCTAGTAATTATTAGGTAGATACTTTGCACAATCGAAGAGATATAGAATAGGATAGGATAGGATAGAATAGGATAGGATAGAACAGGACAGGACAGAACAGAACAGAACAGAACAGGACAGGACAGGAATCCAGGTAAGTAGGTATTTAGATAGGTATAAAATAAATGGGAAACGAAAAGAGAGCGTGTTACAGGCTTTATTTAGAAAATGAGCCTTTTTGATTGACTGACTGACTCTGGTTACGAGTAATTACCTAGTACCATCAGTACTGTAGGTATAAATAATAACTACATACAGTCCAATGAATGCTATTTATTCATTTACCTACCGAGCCTGTCTAGGCCTTTTCTTCATTAATTCTCAATAAAATGAATACAATCACTATATGAAAGATTGCAAAAATAAACATACCTACCTAGTAGATAGACAACAAAGACAACAACAACAATGCACCAATGATTACTTTTCCTTTTCTTTTCTTTTCTTTTCTTTTCTTTTCCTTTCATTTCATCTGTGTGTTTTTTTTCTAATAAATTAATGTCAATGTTGGTCGATCTACTAATAAGGGAAATGGTAATCCAGCCGCGTGAAATTTGCGTATGGGATGGGAGTCGATTGAAGAAAGCAAAGACAAGAGCAAGGCCCGATACCGATTGATTAAACTTGGAGATGGATTGTGGACTCGAAGAAGCAGGAGAAGAAGAAGAAGACCAAGAGGAAGATAAGAAGAAAAAAGAGAGTGCGGTACGAGGTTGAGATGGTAAAAGTACCTAGCTAGGTAAATCAAACCAACCACCTCTCATTCTCTCTCGTAATTTGAGTTGATTCCAGGTTGTCTCTGACTTTATAATTATACAATTATTACAATTATTATACAAACACAAATAAATATATCTATTACGGGACCATTATATCTATCGACAGCACAGAGGGAGGGAGCATGGATTGGATCTGACCTAGGTAGGTACGCACGTAGCGATAGATAGAAGGATTATGAATATGGAGTCTATAAAGGAACAATTAATCAATCAAAAGCAGATAAGTTATATAGATAAGTTAGTAGTTAGCTACGTCCCTAGCTATACAGTCCACCGGCCCAGTCCACCGGCCCAGTCCACCGGCCCAGTATACCTTGTACCTATCTAGCTATATTATAGCTAACTACCTCGTCTCAAGTATTCCTATCCAACGCTCGCTCACCCCCGAATGCAATAATAAAATGAGAGCCAACCACATCCACCAACCATACAAACCCTACACCAAACGAACAGACGATTCATCACCTAGATTCAAGCAAAGGAAAACCTTTCTCATTTCCTACGAGATATAGAGTATAATAATTTCATTCCAAAATACAAAATAACCAGTCAGTCATCATAAGTTCATAACATCCGTGCATTCAAAGGTAACCGACAGGGTTTCATTTCCAATCAAAGCAAGGAATGAATAAAGGGCCTAGATACCTAGATACCTAGATACTCCTTATATCATACATAAACATATACCTCCCTAGTCACCATTATACTCCCAATGTATTTTGGGTGCAATCTAGGTAGCTTTACTGACTTCCTTACTTCCTCACACACGCCCATGCTCAAAAGCTTCTCCCTTCATCATACAAGCAAGATCTCACATCAAATTCTTCTCCTAATACATAGTACATACAGTACTCAAGCACATACCTACCTACTAGATTAGATACATTACATCTTTTATCCTTAATTATACTTCCATCTGCACGTACCTACACTCCATACCTATCTACCTAGTATTCATATTCAAAGCACAAAACTAAGTCCGAACTTTCATCTTAAAGGTTGCTCCTAGTGGAATTATAAATATAAACTCCGAGTATATGCAAATACTATATCATATCACTCTAACCAACAGACAAGCTGTTGATAGACCTCGACAATCCAAAATTAACAATAAATCTAACATGTAACTTCTTTGAAACTATACTCTTACTGTGAAAACATACCTGCAGGTTGCAGGTTGCAGGTCCAAATCACAAGGTCAAAAAAATCAAAAGGTCATCCGTCCCAGCCAGCTACACAACCTTATCAACCCTACCCGACCCGACCAACCGACCACCCCTTCTCCAAACCATAAAAATAAAAAGGGGCAAAGTTCTGTCGGCAGGTGCTGAGATAGGTCGGTACCTACGTATATTTATATCGCAAGTATGTATAACAAGGCTGCATATCATATCCATACGGTGTACATCCTTCATACATATATGACTTACAATAGATAGATACATGGTTTGAAAATGTTTGGATTATATATAATGTTTTATGTATTTATGTATATACACATATACACATATACACATATACACATATACACATATACACATATACACATATACACATATACACATATACACATATACACATATACATATATACACATATATACACATATATACACACTTATATACATATACCATACTCCATTCATCCACCCCAACTCTCTTCACATCTCATTTATCAAATTAACATAACCACCTACCTAGTCTCCGCATCAGATCTGTTCTTTGACTCATGTCAAAAGGGGCATATCTTTTTTTCTTCTTCTTCTTTTCGGGGAAACTAGGATTGATTGATTGAGAATGAGTGATGAATAATAAGTAGGTGAGAAAAGAGTCAAAGCAGAGGAATGGATGGAAAGATAAGTAGAGGAGAGGAGAGGAGAGAGGAAATATTAAATACTGAGATACTCTTGCTGATGTTGTTATTGTTATTTTCTCTCTTTATTTTCGTTCCTTGCTTGAATTCAATATTACCATTTTTATCTAGGTATACAGGTCACTACAATGTCATAAAACCCTTAAAATCATCCTATTTCATCCCATCCCATTCATTCTATTCCCTAACAGCACCCACACACACACTCTCTCTCTCTCTTTCTCTCCATTCATTGGTGGAATCATCCACCCAACTCTCAAGCCGGATATCGGTACCCTTTTATTTTTATTATTAGAGCATCTACCAGGTATCTATCTACATCGTACATCCTACATCTATATCGTACCTACCGACGGAGCACCCACATAACTACTAGGTAGGTACACAACTAGTCCTCTATCCTCCATCCTCCATCCTCCATCCTCCATAAAAACCAATCATATCATAGTACGCAAAAACTCCAGAAGTTCAAATGAGTATCTCGAAGGAAGGCATCTCTCTTGAATCTTCAATCTTGAGTCCCCCAACCCCCAAGCTCCTACATCGTTACCTTTTCCATCCACCTCTAATAATTAAGTATTGAGAAATCACGTGTGTGTGTTACACTGTGTACATATATATATATAACGTGTTTTATTAGTGTACGGGTTATATTAGTATGCGGGTCACTTATTTTATATACAAAATTCATCTGTGTGTAACCGTGCACTTTCTTTATTTATAGATATAATTTTCTGAAAATTTGATACAAAATATTTGAATATATAAAAATTCTAAAAATCTAATTAATTTTAAGAAATTCGAATTTATAAAGTTGTAATTATAAAAATAGTTTTTTTTGTAATGAAAATCGTAACAATTTCCTTTTTCTTTTAAAAACGATAAAATTATTTTATAAAAATTAGATTAATAGAAAACCTAGATTTTAATTTTTTTTTAAGATCTTTTATTCAAGAAAACAATGATTGTTTATTAAAATATTAACATTTTAAAAAGCTTAATTTAGGTGGTTTTCGAAATGACCCGCATACTGATAAAACACGTTATATATATCAACTTCTATTCATTCCTCCTCCCTATACCTCATCTCTAATATCAATCCCAATCCCAAAACCTCTCTACACAACCAACTCAAACTCATAAAACTCATAATCAAAGCAAAACACAAATATAAATAAATAAGAAATCTCCGCAACATTTTTCACATTCTTCTATTCACTACCTTATATACTCATATACTACCTATATAACTAACCATATTACCTATCAAATTCCCAGCACAAAATATCTAGATACCTATCTAC